GGGGAGGGGGCGGGCAAGCGGGCCGAGTTCCCTTCGAGCCCCGCCCCTGCGGCCGGGCGGGACCCGCCCCCCCCGTCTCGCCTGCGGGTTCCGGGTCGGCGCGGGAAACGTGCCTCCTGGGGGTTTTCCTGCACGCTGGCGGCGGGCGGCGGGCGGCGGAGGTGCGTTTCAGATCCACAGGTATTTGCTCGGCCAGCTGGATGCTCGGCCCGACGTGAGTACAAGGTAAAGAATGCAAAGAACCAACCCAATGAATCATTCATCTTCGCCTCGAGCACGAGATCCTGCCCTGAGTGATTTTTCCAAATTAATTCAACTCAGCAAGTGTTTACTGAGCACCGACTGAGCGCCTCGCGGTGTACCAGGTGCTGTGTGGCTGCACGGTCACGGTCACGGTCCTTGGTCTCGAGGAGCGCATAACTTAGTGGAAAGGCAGCCATGTAAACAACCAGGTCTGGTGACCCGTGCAAAGCCAAGCCACAGGAAGATGCTGTGGGAGCGCAGAGGAGGAAGCGATTACTTCCGCTTGGACGATCCGGAGGGGTTCTTGGAAGAGGTGGCATTTGGATTCAGCCTCAAGGAAAAAAAAGAAAGTCCTAGGAGAAAAAAGGGAAGGCATCAAAATAGCTTGGACAAAGGACAGAGGGTGACCAAGGTTTACGATCTCAGCATCAGTTTTTTTTGTTTTAATATTATCCATTTTTTTAAGTTTTTAATTAATTTTTTTATTGCGGTAACATTTGTTTATAACATTGTATAAATTTCAGGTGTACATCCTTATATTTCTATTTTTGCATAGATTACATCATGTTCACCACCCAAATACTAATTACAATTCATCACCCCACACACGTGCCTAATCACCCCATTAACCCTCCTCCCTCCCCTCCTCCCCTCTGGTAACCACCAATCCAATCTCTGCCTCTGTGTGTTTGTTGTTGTTTTTATCTTCTACTTATGAGTGAGATCATATGGTATTTGACCTTGTCCCTCTGACTTATTTCACTTAGCATAATACCCTCAATGTCCATCCGTGTTATCACAAATGGCTGGATAGAATCCTTTCCAAACTGTGTGAAACATAGAAGATGATGCCAAATTAGGAAGAGCTACTTTTTTTTTTTAATGGCTCAAAGAATCATTTTTCTCAACATTATTTAAGGCTCAAACCAGCAGTGTCCTTTAAGAACTATTGGTTGTAAATGAAAGATGTAAGTTCCTAAGCTAAGTGACCCCAAACCAGTATGCTTTGTGCCTGATTTTTTAGTGCTTTTTGGCACCTTATGGTAAGGCAGACCGTGCCACCTCCTGCTGCTGCCTGCCCGCCTGCCTTTAGAACATCCTCTTCCTTCTCCTCTCATCTTCCTATTTTTAAAAAATAACTCCTATGGTGAAGGAAATGCTGGTAACCAACTTTAAGTGAGACTAAATAGGTTCCTCAAAAACAGATAACCTTTCACACATGAATTTTGTGACTATTTTGCATCCTTAAAAGACTTTTTCACTGGTATACAGGGTCTTGACTATGTCTGAATATGTTAAGATACTCAGAATATAGGTGAGACATCTTGTTTATTCCTTTACCACTCATTGAGCACCAACTGTGTGGGAGGCACTGAGAGGGTAAAACATTGATCTTGTCCTTTGGAGAAAAGATGTGAAAATAGTGTAAAATAAATATGTAAATATTGCTTGCTATATTTGCCCTATTGATTGAAACCAAGGTAATTTCAATATGTGAGCTAGATTCTCATAAACCATTCTGGGAACTAACTAAGTACACTTCTATTAGCATCTCTCCATCTTGGTTCTGGATTTCATCACCTTTCACATCTTCAGAAAACTTCTTTCAAACGTATTTCAATCATTCTCCCCCTCTCACTCCCAAAATTACCAACCCCTCTTACCCATTGTCCTTTGCCTTCACCATCTATTCATGTTCAAGCTTTTCCTGTCCTAAAGAAAAAGGAAGAAACCCCTCTGTCACTCTAGATTCTGCACTAGTTACTATGCCCTGTCTGTATTTTCCTTTACGAATGCCTTGAAAGTAGCCTACTCACTTCTGCCTCTTCAGCAGCTTCTCACTCCTCAACTCATGGCTGTGTAGCATCTGTCCCCACCACATCACTGCACTGCTCTCAGTCATTAATGGCTTGCTTAACCCTAAGTGCCGCCATTTGTGAGTCCTCATGTTACTAGAGCTCTTGGTCGCATGTGACAACACAGAGCACTCTACTCTTTCTGAAGCTCCATTGGCCTTCACGACATGATGCATCTCCTAACCCCTCTGACCACTCCTCAGTCTCCAGGGTTCTGTTCTCAACTTTCATTTCACCCCACACATTCTCCCTGAACCGTTTCATCCACTCCCTGTCTTCGTCTGCCACATTTATCAGCAATCCCAAATGCGCTGTCTAGCTCAGACCACCCATCTGAGTTCCATATACTCAAAAGCCTACCAGATGTCTCACCTGGATGTCCTAGAGACACCTCAAGCTCTACGTGTCTGAAACTCTTTAGCATTACTGTCCATTCGGTTGCCAGAATCCCAGGGGTCATCCTTGATTCTTTCCTCCCCATCCCCACTACACTCAACAATCCTGTTGATTCTCCTCATAAATAACTCTAGAATCTGTCGCTCTTAGCCCCTCTCACATAGACCAAAGCAATAGCCTTTTATCTTGTCTCCCTCTTGTAGTCTTGTTCCTTCCAATCCGTATTCCATCCTGCACGTCAGAAAAACTTCCAAAACTTTGCTGCCCAGGATGTCACTGCTCAGCATGGCAAACAAGACTTTCCATTTATCTAGACCTTGCCTATCTTTTCACTTCATCTCTTGTCGCTTCCTACACACACCCCATCCAAACCCCTAGAATGTTCCTACTTTCTCTTGGCTCCGTACCTTTATGCTGTTTCTCTCTCTGTTTGGAATGTCATTTGATTGAATACAAGCAAAGAATGTCCAACATATGTGTAGCTGAAGTTCCACGTATAATGAAACTATAATCCAAGAAACTTTCTGGAAATAAGAAAATGTAAACCTACATAATGAAAAGGCCCACAAGTACTTGAGGAAATGACCACAGAATGATCAATTCTGAAAGCTAACATCTTAAAACTATTACACAAAAATAATAATAATAACCTTCAAGACCTCAATGCAAAAAGTTCAAATCGTTTAAAAGGGTAAGAAAATTAGGTTGTAGTACATTAAAGATGGCTGCAAATTCTTTATCACTTCTTTTGATCCAGACTGGCCTAAATGAATTGCTTGACCAATAGAATTTGTGATGTTATGGGACTTCCAAGCCTAGGTCATAAGAAGTCTTGAAGAGTCCACCTGCGTCTTTAGGAACACTTGCTCTTGCTCGCTCTTGAAGCCCTGAGCCACCGTATATAATATCTAACTCCCTGTGGAGAGGTTCTGAGACTACATGGAGAGGAAGAGAGGCCTAGCTGATCCTAGCTGATGTGAGTGAAGTCATCATGAATGCTCTATATCAGTCCAGCCATCAGCTGAATACCACTGAGTGGCCCCAGCTGAAGCCACGGGGAACAGAAGAATCGTCCAGCCAAACCCTACCCAAATTCCTGACCCCAGAGATTGTTATTATTAAAATGGTTCTTACTTTAAGCCATTCCTTTTCAGGGTAGGTAGTTTGTTATGGAGTCCAGTAACCAAAATATTTGGCGTCAGATTTCTCAGGAGCAACATACAAAGCAAGGCAATAGTGATGCAGTGTTTTGACATTTTCTAAAAACTCAAGGAAAGAAGATGCAAGCTAAGTATTTTATATCCATCCATCCATGCCGTTTTTCAAGCATCAAAGGCTATAGAAAAAACTTTTTTAAAATTGCAAGAACTCAAGAAATACTGCACACATAAGCCTATCCTAAGCATTTACTAGAGCAGGAGTCAGCAAATTTTTTCAAAAACATCAGATAGCAAATATTTTGGGTTTGCAGACCTAGTTGTTCAACTCTGTCATTGCAGCACAAAAGCAGCCATAGATGATATGCAAATAAGTGGGTGTGGTTATGTCCCAAATAAACTAGATTTACAAAAATTGGCAGCAGGCTAGATTTGGCCCATGGTTGTAGATTGCTACTCATGTACAAGAGGAAAAGAAATAGAGAAACTTATTTCTCTCAAAAAAGCACAAGGCCCATATGATTTTAAAAAATTGTATTCCGGGCCAGCCCTGTGGCTTGGTGGTTAAGTGCGCGCGCTGCGATGCTGGTGGCCCGGGTTCGGATCCCGGGTGCGCATCAAGGCACCGCTTCTCCGTTCATCCTGAGGCCGAGTCCCACATACAGCAACTAGAAGGATGTGCAGCTACGACATACAACTATCCACTGGGGCTTTGGGGGGAAAAAATAAAATAAATAAAATCTTTAAAAAAAAAAATTGTATTCCATGATCAAGTAGGATTTATGTACTAGTCTGCTAGAACTACCATAATGAAGTACCACAGACTGGTTGGCTTAAAGAACAGAAATTTATTTTCTCACGGTTTTGGAGGCTAGAAGTCCAAGATCAAGGTGTTGGCAGTGTTGGTTTCTTCTGAGGCCTCTCCCCAGGGCTTGTAGATAGCTATCTTCTCCCTGAGTCTTCAGGTGGTCGTCTCTCTGTACTGTGAGGGTCTGTGACCTAATCTCTTCTTATAAGGACACCAGTCATATTGGAGTAAGGCCCACTCTAATGACCTCATTTTAACTTAACTATCTCTTTAAAGACCCTATCTCCAAATACAATCACATTCTGAGGTACTGGAGGTTATTAGGACTTCAACAACCTAAATATAAGAGCTAAAACTATAAAAATTCCTGGAAGAAAACATAGGTGTAAATCTTCATTACGTTGGGTTTGGCAAAGGCTTCTTAGATA